ATCAGAGGCCCGCCGCCGCGGCGCGCTCGCCCTCGCAGACGTCGAGCTCGCTCCCCCCGCTTCCCTTCCTCTAGGTACCCAACATGTATATATCACCCAGTAGCTATAATAAATCTCTTTTCATCTATACACATGCTGTACAATAAAAAACTTGCGGAGCGAACAAAAACGAAGTATATTGAAAGAATGAAGTCCATTGTGGGCTACTAGTACGAATTACCGAACAAGTAAGTCTCCAAAGTCCCTCGCAATACCCTCAACATCGTCCCCACCCTCATCGGCTTCGTCTTCCGAGCTGGACGACTCCTCATCGTCTGGAGCAACAGACATGCCGGCCTCCTCGTCGACATCCATGCCATCTTTCGGAGATGACCGAGTCGCTATAGAGCTGCGGAACGCGAGGGCGCGAGGGCGCGGACGATAGACGTGGGTTGGCGGAGGACGCGGACCAGTGTACGACTTGTCCCGATAGATTTCATCCAGAACGCGCCGATGTTCGTCGTTCTGGATACGACGAGCGGCAGCCTCCCGTTCGAGGTAAACCGCGAGACCGCGAGGAGAGACGCCCAGAGACGAGTCCTGCGGCGTACCACGCAGGCGCTCGATGGCGCTATCGTAGATATCGTCCTCCTTATCCACCCAATCCTGCATGCGAGGGATTTCGTGGTGGAGGCGGTCAAGCTCCTCCTTGGCGCGTTCGAGCTTGAAGAAGGCCGTTTGCGCCTCGCGGTTCTTGCGGTCCATCCACGGCTTGTGGAGGATGTCGTGGGAGGACTCCTTGAGAACGTCCAGCTCGGCGGAGTAGCCCATGTCGACGACCTCTTTGTACGAGAGCTTCGGCGCTCCGGGGCGGTGAATGGCGCGGAGGCGGTTGACATTGGTGATCGCGTTCCGAATCGCGCTGCCGCGACGGGTAATGGCCTTCGCGAGATGCTTGCGCTCCTTGTAGCCTATAGCATCATCAGTACGTGCCCACAAAGAAATTACAGATAAACTCACCGACTCGTCGCAGATGAGACCTTGACAGTTCTTGCAAACGAGCAACGAGCAAGCGCTCGAGCTTCTGTACAGCGAGGATGAGTTTTCGTTGCACAGCATACTGCTGAGCGGCGAGAAACTCGGGACTCTTAGCATCCCACCGCTCGATCCCTAGATCGCGCTCGAGTGCCGCCGCCCGCTTATCTAAGTTGGTGAGCTTACGATACGCGATGATGCGCTCGCGCTCTTTGTACGACTCGAGGAGGTGAGGCGCGGTCGCAGCACCGAGAACGCGAGTGGCAAGCTCTCGAGCGGGGGTGGCCTCGAATTTCTGAAGCGCAAGCCTGCAACCGAATGAATGAGCTCCTTGCCAGCTGGGAGATAACATGCATGCTCACTGTTGGACTTCGAGATCGAGGCGCACAGCCGCATACTTCGTCTTCAGCTGATCGAGAGGGGACTCCTTGCGCAACGCTTTATAGTAGGCGCGCTCGTCCTCGAGCCAGGACACATAGTCCTTGCTGGTCTCCTTGCGAGCGGCCAGCAGCTTGGTGTTGTCGGCGATGATCTTGATGCTTTGTCTATGGTTGTTGCGCATAAACTTGGCTATAGGGCGGTTAAAATGAGTACAATATCAATATAGTAAACGACTTACTGAGAGCCCCGTACTTGTCGCGCCGAAGGCCATCGAGATGCAAGGTGATGAATTGGATGTAGTGAAAGTGCGAGGCGTGGCGGACGGCATGTGCAACGCCATTGAGGCTGGAGAAGATGCGCTCGCAGACCTCGAGATCTTCGATCCCGAGGCCCTTGAGGAAAAGCGGGTGGTTGTACAGCTGGCACTCGCGCTTGTGAGCCCAGCCGTGGAAGGCGTTGACGACAACACGTAGCCGTAGAGTGGCCATGCGATTCCCGAGGCTACTCTTCTTGATGGTCTCCTTCATCGAACACCCAATGTCGGTCGCCAGCAGCTGATCTTCGCCGTAGATTTCCAAAATGCGGTCAGCAACTGCGAGGCAATACTTGGCCCTGCGAGAAAGGTTAGCACAAATAAGTAGTATAGATCAGCCAGGGCACATACTGTTCGCCAGACTGGATCATCTGCTCGATGAACTCCACGATACCGTGGCGGCACGAGCAAAGGTAGACGCCGGTCTGCTTGAATATCGCGGTATACGCGACGTCCTCAGCTTGCGCGCGTTCGGCCTTCCAGGTCTGCACAGACGGACATACACCGTCATCCTCCTCCTCCTCCTCCTCAGTCTTTTTCTTCTTCTTGCCCTTGTCCCTACGCTTCACCTCGTCAGCGAACTTGTCGACGTCCTCGGGCGAGATCCAGAAGGTGGGCGGCAGTAGGTCGCGGTGATCGGTGTGGCCGCTGTTCAGCAGGCGCTTCTGCGACTCGTTGCCGTCAGAAGCGTGCATCCGCTCTGGATCCATCTTCTTCTCGCCGGGAAGCTGGAACGGACCGTGAGCGTGAGTGTGGGGACGACGTGGGAGCTCAACAGAAAGCACACCTTGTTACCACACGGCGGACACGCGTACTTCGCGTACCAGTCCTTCTCGTCGCGGCCCAGCTCCTTGTCGACGAGCTTCTGAACATCGCGCAAGATAGCGAGGTACGCATCGAGTGCGAGTCCGAAAGACTCTCGCAAGGACTCACGGTACTTCATCTAGATCACATCTAATCAATGATCATCGATACAATAGTTTGTGAGTACGTACATTGGACAATTGGCATACAGCCTTCATCCATGGCATAGCAGTGCAGGAGGGGAGGGCCATGCGTAGCTGTCGATGCTGCTCGAGGCCACGTATCTCGAAGGCGACACGAGGCCGTGTTGGATGGCCAGGCAGACAGCCGATCCGGGCGAGAGCAACGGCAGCGGAGTCTTCGGAGCGCTGGGGTACTACAGTCTGGTAGGCTTCTACTGATACAGTCAGTAGTGTCGAGAGGCCAGTAATCTATCACGTACTGTCGGCGCCGAAGACGAGGATCTTGAAGTGATGGACATCGGCGCTGTCCGCAGGATGCGTGATTTCCTGCGCTAAGTGCTCGAGGTAGGCGACCAAGAGATCGGGAGCAATCCGCGCCCACTCCTTGTGCAGTGCTGCATTGTCGTCCGTGCGGTTGTGTTTTTGCCGACGCGGTTTCTTCGAGTATAGCCTTGGGCCAGGTGTGAATATCAAGCATGAAATGAAACACTGTAGGCGTACCCGGTATACCTATTTTCCCCTTCGCCCTCATCCGTGCTCTCATCCGACGAGCTCTCATCGTCATCCTCTTCCTCTGCAGCCTTGCCGCCCTCCTCGTCGTCCGAGACTATGCCGTTTTCAAACTCGGCCGGGACCCATGCATCGTCTTCATCATCCAACATCAACCCCGCCTCCTGCTTGGCCTCTACCATCCTACAACGCGCCATGCCTTCCATCTCTGAGAGGGTCGTCAGTTTCCAAAGCTGAGAATAGAACTGAAGTACGTACCACGGCGCCATCTCTCTTTCTCCCGCTCGAACTCCTGCTCTCGCTCCCACAGATCCTTCTCCCGCAGAATCCTCGATGTCGCCTTTGAGCCGCCGGAGAGGATATCAGCAGCATTTATCGAGCTGGAGCGAACACCTTCGGGCCGGCCTGTAGCCCGAGGCATGGGCGAGGGTGTGGACGGGAGAGAGCAAGTGCGCGCCACACGCTGCGCTAACGCGCTAACGCGCAAACGAGCTCACGTGCACCGCGTCTGGACGCGCGCGGCCAACCGCCTCCAAGTCGAATCCGCGCCTTGTACTCACCCGTCTTCCATTGCCTTGCTCGAGTTCACCCAACGCCTGTCCTCCACTCACTATGGCCACCTCGCGCAGCTTTTCCGATGATCTTGATGGGCTGGTCAATGGGATGGGAGGTCTAGGTATCGGCTCGAGTACGTCTCTTGGTCCAAGACCCAAACACGTCTTGAACATCCATAAGGGGACGATTTATCGAAACAGGCTAACAACAATAAGTATCTATGGTTCTCCTCGGAAAAAGGACCTGGTACAGGTAATGACTGGTACGCTCGATCTCACCTGATCGCCCGTTTATATCGAACTAATAGCACTGTCCAGGAATCGAGCCGGGCTCGAGACGCTGAACAAACCGGGAAGCCGCGTCCGAGCGTATCAGCGGTCCGGTGGACGTGTATCTGAAGGTGCCGCAGAGTCGGTATCTAGAGGTGTGGCCTTAGCACTGCTGTGTTGCTCTCTGGTGGGATAACTGACCTGTTCCACAAATCCGACAGGCGTAGCAGATACCGCATCTCCTTCCCTCCTCCCCACCATAGACGCTCCACCTCCCACCGCGGCCGTTGTAATACTGGGATGGTCTCCCGTTGAGCTCGACTACAGGCTCCAGCAACACTGCGCCGCCACTCTCGTCGGTATGAATCGTGCTGGGCTTCGGAGATGGCACAACCGCTGGTTTGTCGTCCGAGCCGGGAGATGGCAGGGGGTTACTGATGACATGCAAGTGTCTGGTCTAATTACTGGAGAAACCGTACTAACCGCCGGTCTCTTAGCTCAATCTTGTATAGCCTGACTACTCGTCTCAAGGAGAGGGATCTCCTGGATGTGCGATATGCCGGGAAGACACTTACCGCCTGGGATATGTTCTGCACCATGGCTAATTCGGGAGAGCTTCAAGACTCTAAGGGTGAAATAGTGGTACGTCCTTTCATATTGCCAGCGCCGAAACTGTCTAATTTCTTCTGCACCTTACACACAGCACGCACGAACTGTCGATCGGGTATCCCTCTACGCCGAAAGGATGCCCTGGCTTCCTCGTTTGGTGGCCTCCGTTGCGCAGTGTGGCCGCAACATCCCACCTCATTCACTTGAGGTCAGCGAGGACTCGTTCATGGTCGTCCTGCCAAGCCCAAACCAGGATGAGCTCGACAAGATCGCCTGCGATCCCGTTGACCAGCCTATTCCTGGCTTTCCCGAGGCCGCAAATGCTTCGAGAAGGTTTCGTGAAGGTATGCATGTCGACCTCGAGGCAACCGTCAGACGGCCCGCTGGATCCCCGCTTACACCCTCTGTTCTCTCACCCGCAACGCGCCTGGCTTTCGACTCATCGTGGATGCAAGCGGATTCTCGGCGACGCGACTGGCATGTCGTATTCTGTGGTAGGCAGATTGGTGTCTTCGGTAGCGAGTGAGCAATGGTGCCAACTCCTCACCGCATTGAAGCTATATGCTATAGTACCGAGTCTCGTGCGGCCTATGAACGCGTCTCTGGCGCTAAGCAGAACAAGTATAAGTGCGAGGCAGATGCACAGAGGGCCTTTCAGCAGGCTTGGCTCAACGATGAGGTCGAGCTACGCTTGGTGGAATCAGGGAGAAGGCGTTGACTGCTATGCCTTTTCGATCTCGCCATGTTCCCTCTACACTGTTATATGCCTTGTATCTAGACCCGCCCTCATGTAGACTGTACGCTAGCTGCTCGATCTTATATGACTCCGTTTGCCATGCACTATCTGCAAGTGTTGCGCTCCTCGATAGCCTGCAAGAATGAACTTGAAGGAGATGTATGGGGCTGTCAGGAAGTAGTGAGATACAGTCGAGAAGTACCATATATGCCATATTTTAAGGATGCGAACTGTAGTCATGCCATATAGCTCGAAGATGCCAAAGTCTGGGGTATATACTGGGTGGGTGGGCTGAAAGACGTCGGAGTGACGGTCTTGCATTCGTCTGCGCGACGAATCGCTTCGCGAACTTGTTCGCCGGCCACCCCTCAACCGTCTCGAAAGTACAAAGCCTTACATGCCCTAATATTTTTACGTAGAAACTATCGGGCATACATCAAGAGTGCAGAAAAAAAATACCGAGGTCATAGCTCTGGATGTGCGAGTACTGTAAGTGTTTGACGATGCAACGCCCCTTATAAGGAAGGTGGCTCGCATCCGCCTCTGCTGCTTTCGCGCTCGACGCGTCGCGTGGCTCCCGTTCGCCCATATTCGCGCACCCTCATCTCCGCGCACTGCTCTTCTCCCTCTGCCTCTACATGCGCGTTCGTCTGCGCTCGCCAACACCTGACTGGCTGTGTACTGGCGAGGACGTGCCGGGGCCGTTGCTTGGCTCAAGCAGCGAAGAGCGTGAGCAAGTGGCCGTGCCAAACAAGAGGTATCTCCATTACTATACCCGGTACATTCTCAATAACACAATTCCTCACCAGCACAGAACGCTCACGTCGTCATCGTGCATTGAAAGGAGGTGGGCGCAAAGAGGGGAAACAGAAGCTCCTGCGCCGAAAGCGCGATATACTCGGTCAACGCAGGTACGCAAGTATGCCTTTATTATATATTCGGGCTAAGTTACAATTGACCTAACAGTAATACCCACTCCTCCTTCGCGCTGAGAAGTGCCGAACGCGAGGCGTCTCTCACCACCGCGCAAACGCTCCGCGAAAAAGCAGAGGTTGACGGCCTCCTCACGTACCTCGGCTACTTCGACCCACACCCTGGACGGCCTCCAACAGCACAGGATACCCGCCACTCGTTTGTACGCCGGTACATCTTGGAGCAGCTCGCACGAGTAATGGCCGCTGAGGAAGGTGTCGTGTGTGGCAAAAGGAGCACTCGTGCGAACCCCGCGTACTTCGCGCGTCGGCTCGTAGCAGGTTGGGGGCAAATCTTGGACTTATGGGAGGCTGGCGAGGAGGATGCACTAGGGCGTGCTCACGAGGAAGGCGCGCTCATCCTCCGTGGTGCACGATTCAATGCAGCTGGAATGCGCGATAGGCTCTCTATGTATGTAGGGTAAGTAGTATATAGCTGTATACATACGGTGCCAAATGAATGGGCGGTTAGAATGGTCACGCACGCGTGATCTCTGTTGAAACAGTCACATTGTGGTTTGTTAGGCCACAGATCGAACCAAAGCCGACGCCTTACCTTCGTTCTCGCCCCCGTCGCCTACAGTATCGCATCTAACTCTTGTCACCTCGAAGGGCAGTAATGGCGCCGGCTCATAGTAGAATGATGCAGGCATGTACACTTTTCATTCCCATTCTGTGCTCTCCTCGTTTGCTTTGACTGCCGGCCCTGTGCGTCGCAGAGCTCGCTTGCAGCCGCCCGCTATGGTCTCGTACGCCTGAATGCGCCCTCACCAGGGCACTGACGGGTCTCGATAGCCAGCAGCGGGGTTGTCGAAGGTCGGGCGGCTTGTGGCGCGCATGCCCACGGTCTTCACAGACTGTCGCCGCGATTCTCGGCGCAGTTTTCTTCATCCCCTCACATATCTACCCTGCCACTTCTTTCAGGCTAACCGAATGGTAGGAGCCGGCAGGCAGGACACGATCTGGCCGACAGTTCTCAGCATACCAGCCAGAGACTATCGAGGCGCCGATCGACTACGCTCGACTTCTCAAATACGCCGTTGAGGTTCAGCTCAGCCCGGACGAACCTATCTCAGAAGGGGCCGACCACGGCAATTTGCACCGCGAATCGCCGCCTTCATCTGAGCCTCTGCGTAGCCCTTCCCCGTCACGGCGCAGCACCGTCTTCGTCGTCCCTTTGGACGATCTTATTGGTGAGATAGCCGCTGCCGAAGTCGCATCTGACCTCGGCGCCGGCCTCAAGCGCAAGGCAGGCGGTGAGTACTCTATGCACTCAGCTTCATCTCTTACTTACGCATTCTTACAGGGTCTGATGATGCTGGCAATGGGGCGGAGAGTGCGCCCTCGCAGAAGAAGCGCAAGAAGAGCGCCGTTCAGAAGCAGAAGAGCAAAGTGGCCGCGAAGCTTCGGAAGAAGGCGACGGCCGCGGCTGCATCTGCATCGGGAGAGCTTCCTCGACGCCGCCCGGGCTTTGCAAAACACGGTGTTGACGTCGACGTCGAGGAGCCGGCCGTCAAGATTGCTGCCCATGCCTTTCGAGTGGATCGGTGGGGGTATGGGGCGATCAACGACGGTTCGCTCAAAGACGTGCCGTGGACCGCGCAGGACCTCGACGCCGAGGGGGTTCGTTATATACGGTGGGACGGAAGGTCAGCGATTCACGGTTTTTCTACTCGCACTATGACTGACCGTATCTGCAGGACTACGAAAGTGATTCTTGATGCAAAACGGCGTATCGTGGCCGTGCTCCTCGCGCGTCCTCGTGAAACGCCTGGCCCGGACGGCAAGACGAGCTGGACGTGTGCGATGGAGAGGCTTGCAGCGCTGTTCGAGCGTATCCGCTCCGAACACGCGGGCGATTGGAAGGGCGAAGACTACAACGGCCGCCGTGGCGAGTTCACGTCTTTTGGGTTTGGCTCTTCGTATGGTGGAGGACAGTCGGTATGTGATCTCCGCCGTCCCCTAGCCAAGTACTCACATTCCAGCAGCTCCCGGGTAGCCTTCAAAAGGATGGCTGGGAGGCCGACGTCGAGCGCGAGTTGCGCAACAACGAAGACCTGCAGCGTCTTGCACGCTGGGGCAGTGGTGAGTCTTATATCTTTACCCTTCCGTCCTCTTGCTCATTATCCAAAGAGGGTTTTGCCTCGTTCTTTCCAAAGGCGTATGCATTCGCCAACGACGTCATGAAGCGGCTCTTCGCCCGCGGTGAGGCAACTCGCACCATGCCCGGTAGTGTGTACGCCGCGTCGACGTGCAACCTCGGCCCACGCACGGTATGCCTCGACCACACCGACCATCTTAATTATCCCGGTATCCCGTGCGTCATCACGGGCTTTGGCGACTATGACCCCGACGAAGGTGGCGACCTCTTCCTGTTGAACTTCGGGTTGCGCATTAGGTTTCCTCCCGGTTCGACCGCCATACTTTCGTCGGCTGGTGTACGACACGGCAACACCCCGGTTCCCCAAGGCCAAACCCGCTACTCGTACACCCAATACACTGCCGGCGGCTTGGTTCGTTGGGTAGCGCTGGGGCATCAGAAGGCTACGGGCATGAGTAGTGCATACCGCTCGAAGTTCTATGGCCCTCCTGGGTCAGATTGGAAGGAGCAGCTCTCGCGCTTGAGTATATACGAAGAGCTACCTGCTGATCGTGCAGCGCTTGCAGCGTACTCCGAGGCATAGATAGAAGATAGGGTAGCATATTCTCTATACAAGATACACAATATACATTGTGAATAAATCTGTTTGAAATATTGAGGCACCCCCCATGTGGGCCGGAAATTGCCGGTTCGCCTTGTAACTCAGCTCCCGTTCCGCAATCCCTGTCCTCCGAAAGGCACCCGGTTACCAGTCAGGCTCCACCATGTCCTCCAGCTCGAACGCGCCCTCCCCCGCCGCTACCAGCCCTGTGGTCTCGTCCCAGGCCCGCATCTCCGACTCGAAGAAGGAGGAGCAGAAGCAGAAGGCAGCAGCCAAGAAGGCGACCGATGCTCTCTACATGGCGAGAATTGGTGAGGAAAGGCGAGGCCTATATGATACGGCAGTAGACATTGCCGACGAGTTCGATATGTGAGCTGTGGCACATCTCATTCAAATTAGGCGCTCACGAAGCATCCAGGGACTACCGAGACGTTCTCGTGGAACTCTTCCACACGCGGCGGGAAGTCGCAGGCAACCGCGAGGCGAGCGGCTTCAACGAGTATGTTGCCGAGTGTGTACCCATCGTCAACAGTCGTGAGTACTCCACCATGCCCCATTTGTGCTCGGTTGACAGAGCCCAATCCAGAGCTGGAGCCTCACGAGAGCCGCGTCAATTCCGCTACAATAAAAAATCATCGGCTATGGCCGGGGCTTGCTAAGCGCTGGCACGAGGAAATTAAAGTCAATGAGAAGAAACTCGAGGCGTACAAGCTGGCCGCAGAGGAGAAGAGAAAGGCAAAACTGGCGGAAGCTGAGCGCTGAGCGGGCAACGTCGAAGACGGTTCGCCAAGACGCGACGCGCACGATCAAAGAGGTCGAGCGTGCGGTGAGTTCACTGTGGCGGAAGCGGCGGCGCGAGACTCATATTTATTGGCAGCTCAAAGGGCTACACATACGCACGCGTGCCGAAGTTCTCCTCGTCGTCGCTCCTGGCAACGAGGACCGTCAATTTACGCCCAACGTGCGCTCAACGCCGGACATGGACCTGTTCGTCATGAATGCATTCAATATCATGCCTATCAAGCTCGGCGACAAGTTCTGCCATAAGCAGTTCGGAGGGAAGTCGAAAGCCGGTATGTATATACTCATCGAGTCATGGAATACTCACCGACACGCCTCGTATAGCGCCGAACAGGAACGACAAGGTCGTTGAATCCCGCGACAGGATCTCGTCAGGCCTGCGTACGTTCTTGAGTTGTCGTTCCTCTCGCTGTCGTACTGCCATTTCCTGCAGATAGAATCCTACGTCTACACGACAAAATAGCGGAGGGCGAGATGGTCGAGATGCAGTATGCGAACTACAACGAGCTCGTGGAGCAGTACGGCGTCGCCCTTGTCAACTGGCCGCCCGAGGGCGAGCCCATGCTGAACCCTCAACTGGTAGCAGGAAAGGGGAAGTTGGACCTGCTACACAAGGGGCTGAAGGACGGGAGCATCTATTGGGCGCGCATGACGGACGAGGAGATGGAGAAGCGAAGGAGCGACCTCGAAGCAAGCATTGAGCGTGGGGAGGTTGTTCTCCAGCCGAAGCGCAAGGGTAAGAAGGATGCTTCAACCAAACCACCACCGGCTAAGAAGTCTCGCACCCGCTCTCGCAACCGCTCTCCGCCGTCCTCGTCCTCGCCTTCTCCTGCGCCCTCCCCAGCTCCCTCCGCCGAGGCCGCGTCGCAGGCAGCCGCGCCTGCAGCTGTGGCGCCGGGGCCGATACGCTCAGACGCGGCCGCACCCTTCCACACCGGTGCTCCCTCGGATGGCAGCCGCCACGCCTACACGCCCGCGCCCGGCACGCTCGTTGACCATCAGCTGAACGGCGGCGCACCGCGTATGCAACTTCCCGTCCAGCAGCCCCAGCCCACATACGCCGCACAGCAGCCAGCCGCCTATCCGCCTCAGCACGAGCTCGACGCCCTTCGCATGCCACCGCCCACCCGCCCGCCTTCCATGGCATACTCGCAAGCCGCCGGCGCTATTCAGCCGATGGGCCCTCGTGGACACCAGCAGGGCAGTGCGTTTGGTGGTTACGCCTACCCGCCGCCTCGACAGGGTGCACAGGTCACTCCAGTCAGGACGCCATCCCGTGCATATCCCTCGCAGGGCATGCAGCCTGGCCCGTACTATACCCCGCCTTCTTCTCGACCCCCCTCCCTTCCTCCCTCTCGACCTCCCTCTTCATACAGCTATCAACAACCACCCGCCTTCGCACAGCCTCAGCCTGGCACACCATCCCGTCAGCATGCCAGTCTGCCTCAGGAACGACTCGGTCAGCAGGGGCATATGCCTCTATACATGTAGCTGCTTTGTATTATTTCCGCAGAATTATTCCTACAACAAATAATATACTCAATTGTTTAATGAATACATGAATACCTACTTCGTTGAGTGACATAAGCGAGATCTACCTATCGAAAGGAGTCGAAATATGTATACATGTTGGGTACCTAGAGGAAGGGAAGCGGGGGGAGCGAGCTCGACGTCTGCGAGGGCGAGCGCGCCGCGGCGGCGGGCCTCTGATGGCGCGCGCGCGGCGGGAAGCGCCTGTGATGGCGGGGACGCGCGGGGAAGCATGTGAAAGAGCCTTCGGAGGCCTCGGAGCGAAGTCCGTACGGCGCCGAGAGCCTCCGGTAGCCGCAGGTACCTATGACGTCCCCGGCCCTAGGTATACTGGTGTAGCATAACCGTTTTTGTTTCCGGGTAACGTTGGGCAACGGGGCGGAGCCCGGGCCGGGCCTGCCGCTATGCTGGCGG